TAGGTTAAATCTACTGTGCGACGCCGGGTCCTTGGGTTGGGCCCCAGGATTTGGGTCCCGAAGGGGTATGCCCCACTACACCCCTCTACACCCCACTACACCCCCTACCCCACACACACACACACCCTTTGCGGAAACCCGTGATGAAGTCAGTTCTCCGGGGAGGTGGCGCCCGGAACGCGTGTTCGCCATTTGGCATAATTTAGTATGCCGCCGGCCGCCAAAGACACAAAACTCATATTTGCAATTTAAATCCTGGAAATTAAACAATTACAAAGTTTATCGGTTGCAATCAACCTCACAAGCCCTCTGAAAAATCCTACCATGTGGGATGCCACTCATGCTACTAATAGGATACACTAAAATAAAAGTAAATATAACAACAAATATTTTCACTTTTGTTTAAACCGAATTAAAATGAAAACGAATCAGTAGTTTGCCAAACCAAATTTAAAGCATTGGCAAATACTTTTGAAGAATAAAATCACTTGGAGTTTAACAAATTGTATAATATAAGCTTACAAAAATTGTTGGTAAAATTAAATATGTTTGTTTTTTTGAACATTTTTATAATGTAACTCAGTAAATGTGAAGATCTTTATGAACCAAAGCGCAGACCCCCATTTTCATTTTTTTTGAGTACATTGCAGGGATTTTCGGAGTTTCCCGGAAAAGCCTGCCTGTCAGCCTGCTGCCAGCTCAAGTGCTTATTATAAATGAACTTAAATTAATTAAATCTTTAATTAAGAGTTTGCCATATTTTGTTTCAGTCTGTCTGGGCACACGTCTCGTCCCCATCAACTGGGCCATCATCATCAAGATGGTTTTGTTGTGTCTCCATTTCAGGCTCCATCACGAACAATATTAACGTCATTGTGTGGCCGGCCACTCCAGGTTCACTGCGGCGCCCAAAAAATGTTTTTAACTAAACTTTTACCCAAAATAACACAGCAAAACTCGACACGAAAACCATAGCCGTAAACGGCGACGTAACCATAACCGTAGAGCGTGCCAGGAGCAAAAAGAGAAACTTGAAATTCACTTTATTCGCGGGGCAACAGCAAGACAAGAAGACAAGGCCAAAAAACCAATGTGTATATAGTATATACTTGTGTGTATGTCAATGTCCTTTTCCTGTCCTGTTTTCCCTTATATCAAATTGAATTTCGCCCTCGGACACGGAAAGAGCCCAAGAATTCAAAATGAGGCCTTGGCGATATGTTTATGATGCCACTTGTCTACCAAATACAATTTTCGTATTTCTTGCACTTGGCGCTCATATTTCAGACCGTTGTTGCTTCTTGACAAATTTTGTCGCTTTTAAATTTGCTTTGACATATTTGGCCGACATCGAGTATGGGCTGTGTTATATTGAAAGGAACCCAAACACGTCCCACGTCTTTCAGGCAGTCCGGGAAATCGAATTAAAAACTCATCATTGCTCAATTTTGCTCGCTCCTTGTCTCGCAACCCATGACCAACATTTCTCCCAACCAGTCGCAGATGATTTGGGCTCGTGTCCTGCCTAAAATACCATTCATTCTTTGCCAGCTTTCCAATGCTCAGCGTCTGTGTGTTTGTGTTTTCCCTTTTTTTTATTGTTTTACTAGCAGAAAATCTGTTCTATTCGTACGTTTTTATTGTTGCTACGAGTAATTTAATGTGTATTGCATTTAAGCTAATATTTGAGTTGTTGCTGGGAGGTTTTAATGCCGCTTTTACGATCTTTTTATTGCCTTTTTATTTGCTGGCCCTGGACCTGACCTGGTCGGCACTGGTCAATGGCCAAAAGCAACTGTTCAGGGGATGCCCAACTTAACTCAACTAATTTTAGGCAATTACAGCCCAACAAAGGGATGAGCGGCAGCCTCTTTTATTAATTATAACTTCCTTCTGCCAATTGCTTTATTTATGAGGTCCAACACCGATATCAATCATCGTAAAGGCCATTCTGGGTATAAACCCTTTAAGGACGTATTTGACACACTTGGCTGGCTGCCTTATGGGTGAGAGCCAGCCCCATTCGGAATGCAAACAAAGATAATCTTTGCCACAATTTATTTACCTTTCGCTGACCAAACCAATTTACGATTTTAATCAAACCCGAGTCAGAGCAGGAGCTGCCATCAAAGCAAATAGTTGAGCTGCTGTTATTTGGCAAAGGGCAAAGGGCCAAAGGTCCAAAGTCAGCCGACTAATGCCCAGTGTCCAACCTAATTTGACGCTGAAGAGAAACGAGAGAGAGAATGAGACTGAATGTCCGCCTGTCTGTTTTTCCGAGCGTCTGTCTGTCTGTCTGACTATCTGTCTGTCCGTTTGTCCGCTTGTCCGTCTAACCAACTGACTGACGGACATCAACAGTCTGTGCATAATGCTTATTACCACAATCATTTACAGCACTCGGCCATGGCCCCTTTATACGAGGCCTGGTGCGGTGAGGATGGGTCTCTTGGTTGAAGTCCCATTTTGCGTGGAATGCAATATGCAATCTCCAGGCAAACGCACTGGACTCCCGCACATTAGTGAAAGTGTTGTGAGCAGTGAGAGAACAAGTCAAAACCCTCCCAACGCTCAGAGAAATAACGGATTTTAAACCATTTCACTTGTTATGTATCAGTAGCTTTAATTTTTCCGCTTCAATGAGTTCGAACATTCATATTTTTAGTACTCTTACTTGTAATGCATTGTAAAAACTTAATTTTAAATTTGATTATAATAAGGCTAATGGATGTGCACCATTTTCCTTGCATTTTTATTTTTTTCATTGTTGACAGTTTTATTGACCCTAGACTTTTGTTACCCGATAAAGCCATTATTAGCCCTTGGCTTTTTTGCCCAGTGTTGAGATGCAACAGTTTCCACTATTTAATGGCGATCTGCGAGAAGCCCACTCTCCAAATGGTTAGCACACATGCGCCCGGGTGTGTGTGTGTGTCTTGGAGTGGTGTCATATTGGCTATTATGAATTGTGCAATTGTCGTCAGCGCCAGCGAGATGCCAGACCCCATTCTGCGACGCTTTACGTTCCCCGCTTTCATTCTCCATCTCCAGTTGAGCCGACAGTCAGTCAGTCACTCCAGCTGCAACTCCTGCCCCAGCTTTTGCACCCACATCACTTTTTCTGTTAGTCACTTCTAGTGCTTGGTTTCATTCCGATTGCCTGCTCATCATCCAGCAGCTCTTTGTTTGGACGAGGACGAGTACGGCACACACGGCGTATACTGAATGCTGTCTGCGTTTGCGTTTGCCTTCGTTTTCCAGCATTTGCCGCCATTTTTCCTTTCACGCTACTGGATGGGTTTTTGTTATTGTCAGTGCAACTACTACTACTACTTTTGTTGCTGCTCGGCACTCCTAGTAAATGACTCTTCAACGTTTGTCGTATTTGTCTGGCAGCACTTTGAAGTGCCAAATATTTTTACATTTGTATACAGCTGCTTTTGTCATTTGTTTCGGATAAAACATCGCTTCAGTTCGCCGCCCTTCTGACAAATGCTCTTGCCCAAAAATCGCTGCCCAACCAGTTATGACATCGACGGCCCTCTAATTAAGCCAGCAAGTGCTAGCAATCAGTCAGTTAATCAAGCGAGCAAGTATTTAATTAAGTGCGGAAAGTGTTGGATGTGCATGCGATGGGCTTCATTATGGTCTTTACCCGTAAAACCTTTTACCGGCATTTCACAGGGTTCCGGTGGGGTAAGCAAGGTGTATCGCTATAACATTTATGCACTTTTCCCCGGCACATCAAAGTCATCAAATGGAACGAACGAACGAACAGTTCTGGCAATTCCTCGTCGCTCCATATACACACATATGTAACATATATTTAGTTTATCTGAATCTGTGCGCTCTGGGTGTGAAGCTGTCAGCTAGTTTGCATTCATCAGCAGCAGAGCCGGCAATTGAGTGACACCATCCTCGTATATCCGATATCATCAACCACATCATCATCATCATCATCATCATCATCATCATCATCATCATCATCATCATCATCGTCTGCAGTCGCATCTCAAAGATTTACATGACGGCAGTTGCAGTTCGTTCGCTATTCATTTGCTGGCAGCCCTTTTGATTGCTTGTATTAGTGATTGTCAGTTGGCTTAAAAGGAGGCGGATGACGGAGGAAGTGGGCGGGGCTGTCTATCCATTTGATTGCCATTGCCACACGCAAATCTCTTATGCTTATGAATATGCGCATGGTGAATAAAATTCCATGTTTGTCACTCCGCATTGATTGAAGTGTGAGTCCTGCGACACATATACGTCCTCTTAATTTCCCGAGTGCAACTATTATTGGTGTGCTCAAAGGAGCTTTGAGCGCTTTGAAACCAATTTATTGATTTCTCGCTGCGCAAATGAATGGTGCCCAAAGCTAAAACCTTGGGTAGTATTCCTAATTCCTAATTCCTAATTCCGAATACCAACTACCGACTGAATCCCAATCAAACAGTTCATACCCCATTGTGTATGCTGTCGACACTGGCTAAAGCATTTAAGCCATTAACACGCAAAGGTCGCCAAATGGTATTGATTATGACCGCTGGTCAGATGAAGGGGCCCTTCGAAACGATAACAAATAACAAATAACAATAACAAACAATCGGCACAAAGAGTCCGTGTTTAACTTGGGGTTTGGGTTCGTCTGGGGGGAAATTCACGTCTTCCATAAGAAAATGTTTTTGCTTTCACTGTCTAGCAGTTATCGCCTGGGAAATCATTTAAGGATAAGTAAAAGTATTTTTGAATTAAAGTTAAATGGTAGCAAGCTGTTAATTAATCCAATCGCATGTTATTACCATTCCCATTCGATAGTGTTCAAGTTAATTGCCCGTTAAAGTCATTAAAAATGTTTTAATATTTTAATAAATGATTTGGGTCGACTCCCACTGTACAAGGTTAAAATCAAAAGTATTAACTTAAATATACTAAATCGAAATATGTCTTTCACCCAATCACTAACTGCTAAAATAGGAATTCTATAACAATGGTAGCACCAATCAATTTTTGAATTTTTTACAAACTAAAAATCAAAAACATATCTAAAGTCATACAAAATACTCATGACATTGATCATTTACAGACTTTTTCTCCAGAGCACATCATGAGCTTCTGCGTCTATTTTTTAAAGCCCTTTTCCTTGCTCTCTTCGAGGGTTTCAGGAAAGACCTGCGGGCACAAGGACAACATAGAGCTGATCGAAGTGTGGGAGCTGCACTTAATCAATAATTACCATTCGCCCAAGGGCATGTAAACGTTGCACACGCAGGCGTTCACCAAATGCAGAACGCCGGCGATTACGCCGAAGGCGCTCGATAGGTAGAACATGGGTAGATACTCGTTGCCACAGTGATCGATCATTGCCACCAGCAGGGTGACGCCGGTGCCCAGGCAGACGATCCCGCTGGCCCAGTTGAAAGTCATCGCCTGAAAAACACACTCGTTGAGCATTCATCACCACCAATGGCCCAAACCCATCTGAGTGTACGCACAATTGGATCGAGGCCCACGGTGGTGCAGCACAGCCGGAATATAACGAGCACCGTGTTCTGAAAGGCGATGGCGGGCAGCATAAAAGTGTACATCCACACCGATATCCCGTACTCCTCGCCTCGAACACAATGACTGGATAGGATTCGGATGAGGAGCAACAGGGCCAAGACCTCCAGCACCTAATGGTCAAAGCTATTACTAGACCATTACTCATTAAAAGATTGCAATTGCAGTCACCGCCGTCAGTAACTGCAGCACAAAGTTCAAGATACGAAAGGGGAAGCTCATAATGGTAACCAGAAATTTTGTTATGCTCCTTGACAATAAAAACAAATATGCCTTGAAATTTATAAATACTATCTGTTTGTTTAGTGTGACCAACTCCTTTGAAACTATAATTTTAAAGCTTTTGGACACACTAGTCTCTTGTAAATCCATCTGTTTTCATTTTAAAAAATGATTTAGAAGATATAGTTGACTTCAAAATGAAACAAGTTAACATTCATGGTCCAATTTCGTGAGTAAGACCAATTAATAAAATGGCTTTCGCTATGAGTTTGCAATTTGGGATTCCGCATAAGGACTGTTTATCTGTTTATCTACTTGGCAGCAACATTTTATTGTTTTCAGTTGTTCCTTTTTATTTTTCATTTTGTTTTGGCCCCGCTAATCTAATTGGCCTCGATGGCGCTTGTTGAGTGGAGTCGTTGCCCTGCTACGCATTTGTTGCTTTGTTTGCACTAATTTCATTACTTGTGGAATGTGGCGATGATTTCATGCAATTTAAAGCCACATTTTTCAGTGGCAAAGTATTTAGCATAGTACCTGACCAAACCGGACCGTCGAAACCTGGGGACCAAGAGCTCAAGAGCCGTCCCAAAACCAGCTAGAGTTGTTGAGCTGGGTCCCACCGAATCCACTCCAAGCTTTTATAATAATTGCCTGTTGACACGGGATGGCCGAGGGGCAAAGTTAGAAGCCACGGCAAAATGGGGCTTTTCGGAATGCCGACTGGGATCGAGCAATGGAAATGCCGTTGATAAATGAAATTTTCAAAACGTGAACCAACAAAGGGGACAAAAAACAAACGAAAACCAAGCCGAACCGGACCGAACACAAAACAAGCGGAAAAAGGGGCGGCAAATATAATTTAATTTGTTCGCATTTCAAAAGGTGCTCAGCCCCGTTTCTTTGCCCCTCTTCTATATCTGAAACTAGGTTTGGTTAAGCGTTGATTGAGCAAAACACTTCAATTATTAAACAAAACAAATCATTCTATTGATCGATACTTTTGCCAGTCGATTGCAGAGCTGGAAAAAAACTGTTTCAAAAGACATATATTTTGTCAGCTTTGTTGCTAAAATTGCATATTAGCCAAACATGACAACGCTTCGCCTTTTTCAGTGAAATTTATGGAAAAATGTGGCAAAGACAAAAAACTTGAGAGAGATGCAAAGTGAAGTGAACTCCCAAGAGCGGCAAAAAAGGAGAAGAGAAATGTTCTCGAATAAACAACAGCGGAAATGTAGGCTATGATTTGCTTACTTGCCAGCAGGTCAGGGGCGTGGGCTGTGGAGGAACTGTGAAGGGGGCCCATCTGCCAGGGGAGTTGGACCAATGACAAAGGCGGTGTGTGGCAAAAGTTTACTCAGTCAGGGAGCTGGTGTAACATAAATCAAATGCATGTACCATTTTCGTACTTTCCGCACACATATCCTGATCCTGTGCAAGTGCATTGGGCAGGCCCAAAGCAGGACAACCGGTGGAGGAAGGACGAACCAGGAAGGACGGTATATTGGTGGGCGTGGGCGTGGACTGTGCGACAGTAAGTGTGAGTGGGAGTGCGTTGTGTTTTGTGCACATCCGTTAACTTTGTCATTTTTGCTCATTTCCTTCCGGCATGTGCAAGAAAACTGCAGCCAGCAGCAGTAGCAGCAGGGGCAAGCGAGCAAACGAGCAAACGAAATGATTCCCAGCAGCGCTCCACTGAGCCACTGAGCCACCGAGCCACTGAGCCACTGACAAGCCGTAAGCCGTAAGAAAGCCAACCGAACAACTACAAACACAAGGCTGACTGGCGAAACAAAAGCAATGCGGAAAGCGGCAATAAGTTGGGGGCATAACTTTCGGTGCCTTCAAGAACACACACTCCAGTGGCGTGCGAACTGGGGGGTTTTATGGGTACGAAATGTAATGTTATAGTTCTCTTTGAATACTCTTAACAGTTCTTTATTTTTTATGGTGCAACTTATAAGTTAATTAATAAAAATAGTTAGCAGCTTACTTATTTTTAAAGAATGTATCTTAAGTAAACTAAAACTGTTCAACATTTGTTTTTACCTCAAAAATATAAAAATTTTTAATTTAGATCGGCAAGTATTGTAAAGTTGTAATACAGCATTAATTACAACCACAGAGTTTCATAATTAAGAAACCAAATAAACATTTCATAATTTCATTTTTTAATTATTCTTCTACACTTCTACACTTTAACTAATTTTTTTAAATAGACATAAAAACCCTTACGAAAACAATGGTTAAACTAGGGTAAAAATACAATAAAATCCCATTTTTTTTAAAGCTTGAAAAAATAAATCCCATTAGGGACATTATTTAACTGTCAATTGTTCAATAACAATTATTAAAACATATTTATAAATACTTCTCAGTAAATAATATCGGGAAAAAAACCTTTAAGGCCCCCTTGTAAAAGCCAACGCCACTGAATGAAGAGATGAGAAAGCGCAGAGCATTTTGCATGAAATTAGAGTCGTAAGACACAACAAGAGCCGGCAAAAAGAGTAGGGTCTATAACTTGTTGGAATTTAATTATTTTGCAGTTGCTGTTTCAGTGGTGCAACTTGGTCACGGGGGTCTTATTTTTTGTACATTACACACCCTTTCATCCCCGAACCCCCCTCCTGCCGGGAATCATGTGCCAAAAATAGCAAAACTTTGCTGCAATTTTCATTCGCATTTATTGTGTTGACATGCTGCCACACTGCGTATACGTATCCTTGATGCAGCCATACAATTTATTTATTTAAGTTGAGTTGAGTGGCGAGGAGCCGGTGAAGGCTGGGAAAATTTTTGCCGTATGTTTACGTTTAAGAACTGGAAAGTAAAAATATTTGTACACTTTCCGTTGTTTGCCGTTGCTCGTATCCGATTAGATGTCCTTACTGCTCAAAGGGTAAAGAGCTGAACCATCGTTAATTCCCACGCCATCTGCATTGCCAGAGAGCATATGCATTCAAAGTCAAAGCCACATTAATTAGCATGCTTAGGTGACTTTTATCAAAAACCAATTAAATCCACACACTCGCTCACTCACGGGCACAAAGTAAAGTTGATAATTAAATGAATCTGTGTGAGTGGCTTTGAGTTCAAAGTTGGCAGCTAGCTAAAACTCTGTGAACATAATTTGTTCTTTATTTTCTCTGTGCCAGCACTTGGTATAATATCACATGCGAAACGGTGACGTTTTTAAAAATATGCATGGCAAAAGGATGAAATAAAAAATCACAAATAACATTATTAACGTTAAATTAAACTTTGGAATTTTGTTTTTGTTTTTGCCACTGCCAGACAGAGTTGAGAGGATTGAAAAGAAAGTAAAGGAGTAACTTTTCGGAATGCCTGAAAGTACATTAAAACAGAGACCGGAAGTTAAAACCAAAGGCTTGTTGATGTTTACCCTAATTTGCGGCTCACTCTGAAAACATAATCAAAGACATCAGATGGAGCCACAAAGAGTTGGTCCTAAATCGAGCATCTTACCTAGTCGACTTCTACTTTTCCAGATTTTTTTTCGCACAGCTTTTCCACAGACGCTCAGCCCCGCCCACTCGTATTTGTCAAGTTGCAAGCGTATGCGTGACACGTAGTAAATTAAATGTGAAACTCTGTAGCAGAGTGTAGCTAACTGAGAGTTTAGTGTTTGTGTAAGTGTATGTGTAGTAGCTGAGTTTGAGTGGCTACAAAGAATGTTGTTAAGCACAGCTATAGCTACTATATCCCCGATTCCCTGCCCCGGCTATAAATCATCAAAGTTCAACGTTTGCCATTTTGTCTACAATGTGTGTGTGTGTACGAAATAAGTGTGTGTGTGTGCGGCTGTGTTTGTGGGAGTGTTTGTACAAAAATGTGTTTGCTTTGCAATTTCCTTTTATTTATTTAAAGTTCTTTAGCAAACCCACCCTCCCTTTTCCCGCTGGCAGGCGGCAGGCAGCAATGTTCACATTAAGTTTTCTGCCAAAAGTTTTAACAAGTAATCTTTTAATTAAGTGCCAGCCATCCTTAGACATCTCCTCAGACACTCTGGCATTCAGAAATCCTAGAATTATGAGAGCAACAGGAAGAATGCCGGGAAAAACGCACAAATCTAATTTGATTAATGGTCAAATGCTAAGCTTAATTAGTGGAAACAGCAGCGAAAAACGCGCCAAGCCAACTGGAATCGACATTAATGGTAGCCACAAACACAAATACAGGGAGAATAAGAAATTAAATAAATAACCACAAAACAACAACTAATTGCACCACAAACGACAATGAAAAAAAAACAACCAGCGAAAAAGAGAGCGGAAGAAAAAAGGGAAAAAGGAAAACCTGAAATATTTCGCAACTAATAAAAACATTGCGGCGTACTAAATCAACTGGAAAACTGTAAAGCACATTGAAACAAAGGTGCGCGAGAAAAGCGTAGGAGCACACAAAAAATGCTGTGGAAGACCACAAGATACCCAGTATATTTTGTTTAGTTTTTATAATATATACAAAAATAGAAACTTTATGAAAGCCTTCTCAAATTTCAACTTATATAAACATTTATTTAAAAACTTTTCATTAACAATATATTTTCTTCAGATTTTCAGAAATATAATATCCCCTCCACAATTGCCAGGTATAAAAAGAAAACCAGGTGGAGGAGGCGAAAATAAATGAGAAAGATGGTAAAGAGTTTTCCCAAGGGGGAACAGAAATAATGGCAAGTGACATTTAACATTAGTTTTCCTGCGCCATGAACAATTATTTTTTCCTGTGTCCCTAATTAAAGAGATTGTCATGAATTATAATTGCAGCACTTAAGCAGAGCAATGCCATAAATGCATATATGCAACGATATCCATTCGCTTAAATTGTTCGGTTTAGTTCTTTTTTTCCGCTCAGTTTCGCTCGCAACTGAAGTCAATGTACCCACATCATGCTGTTTTCGCTTTTTTTCTGCCATTCTAAAGCATCGGATCACATTTCATACAATTGCGAACCGGAGTTAACATTTTCGTGAGAGTTTTTTTATTGTCGAGTAATTGGACTCCACTTTCAATTGCTGTGATCCCTAAGCGTCTCTTGAGTTTTCGACCTTAATTGCACTTTAGCAACGTTTCTGGCTTGTTTGTGTTTGACCAAATTTCATTGCTGCTGCTGCCGCTCCCTCTTGATCGATTGATTGATTGATTGATTGTTTGGCCGACTGTTGTTCAAGTGCTCCGGCCAAGGGAGAAAAATATTTGCATAGACTTAACTAATTTCCGAGTGCAGTCCACTTGACCAAATGTTTAACCCAACACAAAGAGTTTAAAGTTTTGTATAATCGTTATAAGCCTATCGCAAAGTAAAGAGTCTTTGGCTAAATTGACAGAAGGTCATAAGCTGAGCGACAATCATAATTAAGCTTCCCGGCAAACGATTTCAATTAGCAGGAATAACAACATCCACACAGCTGGCCAAATCAGCCAATCTCTCGACCTTTTTGGTAAAAAGTGCAAACACGAAATGGAAACTTGTACAAAGTTTAGCGATAGCTGGAGACTCACCAGCTGCCCCTAATTAAAGCCGAAAATCTCTGAAATCTCCAGTAAAAAGCGGCAAATATGAGGGGAAAGTTCAAGCGACGCTTAACCACTTTTCCAAGATAAACGACACTTTTGCCAATTTATTTGGGCCACTGCTCAAAGCTTTTTGGCCAGCACATTTTTGGGGTATTTTCGGGTAACATTTCAATTTCCTAGCCCATGAGTAATGGCAAATTTCCAAGAACTGCTGGCCGTGATAGTTGCCATTTATAAGCCATCGAAATATAAGCCCAAGCCCAAATCGAGGGCTTGTGGCTAAGTTTTATGGCCGTCTAATTGAGCTAATTGCTTAAAAACTGCTGTACATATTTAAGCTGAATTTCTCAGGGGTATTTTATAGACACAGAAATGCATTTTGTCAGTAGCCCGTCATTCAAATATTTATAGGGGAGGAACTGAACAGATTTCATATTCAATTTAAGCGAGTTTATTAAATGATATTTCCTCGTAAGCTGACAGCTTCGCTCAGAATCACTTTGGTTTTCCTCGATGACAAACCAGACATTGACACGAGAATTCACTTTTGAGCAAGCACACACGGTTGGCTGTGCAGAAACTTAATAAAGCTGCATGTTAATATTCATACCATTTCAAATTCATAACATTTCAAATTCCCGTACCCCACTTTCGGCACTCACAAACGTCACAACCACTGATGTATCTAGATATGAATGCATATTTGTGGTACATTTTCAACCAAACTCAATACTCATTTAATTTTGGGACTAATATTAATTGAAGCCATCAAAAATGCCCGAGTGTAATAGCTGATATAAAAAATAAATAATTTAACGAAAATTTAATTACCTGATGGCTATTTGTTTTGGCCGACGTCGGTTTTAATTGCTATCGATGCGACAATGGCGACGACAAGATCATGTGGCCTAAAAACGACAAAAGGGTTGAATATCAGTACAATTATTTAATAAATAATGCAGTGAAAATGTGTGCGTGAGGGGCATGTTATGAATGAAAATATGTATTTGGGGTCAAGAAAATTTGCAATTCAATATAAAGGCAGCGTGAAAACGCGGCGGATCTAGGACCACCGCATCCGCAATCGCTAAAATTAATTTAAATTTTATTGCAGCAAAGGAAAAAGGATAAAGGTTGATGATGAGGATGAGAATGAGGATGAGAAGGTGTAAAACAAATCTGCAGCCTTCCCCGCAGGACGAGTGAAATATGCAGATCAACTCGGCTGTCAAGTGGCGAGAGCGGAGTGAAGTGGAGTGTATTTCCAGCAAAAGCCAAACATTTATGAAAATGCAAAAGCGTTTTTAAGGTTTACCCCAGGTAAGCTGCTGCAGAGCGATATTAATGTGAATGGCTGCCAAGCTAAAATAAAATAACACCGAAACTAAACTGGCAGCAACTGCTGGGGGATAGCAAAAAACAGAGCATGAATTGCGGTTTAAGCATTGAATTATGAATATTTCTTTACCTCGACCCCGACCTGGATTTTTCGGGTGCCAGCGAACATTTATCATCCTGCCAGCCGAGATTCTGATTAAAAGCGAGAAATGTTTCGTAATAAACCCCCAGCCAAACGAAACATAACGAAACGAAACGAGTCAAAACCACGGCTGTCTCTTATTCACCAAATGCAAAATCGCAGCTCACGAAAATGTACGCATCAAAATTGCAAGAGCCTCTGCCCCAAAAATCTGTGCCATGACTTTGAACCTTGTTTAAAAACGTGAAATTTGGCGCATTTCCCAGCTTTGTTTGGATGAATGATTACGTATAATGAAGAGGAGAAAATTTGCATTCAATTTGTAAAGCAATTCACTAGCTTCTTATGCTAAATGGCACTGGCATTATATAAATTAGACAAAAGCGAAAACTTTTCGAGCGGCGAGAATTGTAACCTCCGACCATAAGCTCAGCCCCGGGGCCTCGAGCACTATAATTGGCCCAACTTTTGCTCGGTTAGCATGAAAACTCATTTATTTCAGCGCAATCAACACATATACACTGACGAGCCGGCGGACAGAAAGTGGAAGTTATAGCAATTAGCGGGCTCAACTGAATGGAGCCAAAAGAATTAGGCAACAGTTCAGAGTCCAGACCGTTGTTGCCAGGCAACATCGCAAAAAAGGGAGAAAGTGGGACTCAAGCCAATTGAAGAATGGATGCCATGAAAGGATGTTTATCTTTTCTACGAACTAGCCATTCTTGCGCCTTTGAGTAATTTGCTATATACCATTTGCACAATAAGAAAATACAAAAATATCAATTCATTAACTTGAAAAACCCTAAGCTGTTCTAAGCTTTATAAAAATTTGTGAGTCTTGATCAATGACACACAACACAAGTACCAAATAATAAAGGAATATAATCCACGAGTAATAACAACTTACATATGCCTTATGCTTATGCTCTTGGTAAAAAAGTAATGTTGCAAATAAAAAACTATTTCGGGACTAAAAGTAATTAAGGAAAGATTATCTACCCTAACCATCTATTATCAAGAGTTCTATATATAAATTACAAATGTAATTAGCTTATTGTTCCAAATATTTCATCGATGTCCAATTGTCCCAATCCCATTTAGTTTGCCATTAACAACGGATGATAGTTTTCTCACAACACTTTTCATTCTTTTCTGAATATTTATAAATATTTGGGATATCAACATTGTATTGATTTACTGAATTTTGTTCATTTTTCAATAGCTGACTGACCAAACTCATTAAGGTCTTTTCATATTTTTCCTATATGAGAGCGCTTTGTCTCTGCAATGTGGTCCTTTGTTTTCGTTCCGGAAAAAAAAAATTGTCATTTAATTAAGTCGGCAGACAGAAAATAATTTGCGCAATTTATGCACGACAGCAATTTGCATAATGCAGCGCAACAAATCACAAATCAAATGTTTATTAATGCCCAGACATGGACTGAAATCCACAACCAGTAGAAATTTCAATCCGTATCCATATCGTTTTGCATTTTGCAAACACGCTTCGCTGGCCTGTCCTCATGAATTATGTGAAAACAACTCAATCAAAATGCAAACTGTCAAAATAGGGCTGTTGGAAAAATACCAAAAAAAAAAAAAAAAAAAAAAAATTATAAACAAACAGCTAGGAACAAATGAATTAGCCATATCTATGCTCCTGCCCATGAGAGTGTGACTGACGGCGTGATAACGCGTTATTACACTATAAAATCATTAATACGGCGGCTCTAATGTCGCGGATATGTAAATGCGGTCCCTGTCACGCGAAACGCTTATAAAATACAGTATAGACAACGAGCCCAGAAATACGGCATTAGCTGCCTATAGTCGAGATCCTTTGACAACGCCTACCATTTGAGCCCATTACCCAACACTTTGGCCATAAAAATAAGTGTGTGCGCCAGTGCCAAGGCAACGAAATCTATTAGTTTTCCGAGGCTTGGCGGAAGTTCCAGCCAAGGATGAGGTGGAAAGCACTGAAGAGCTGTGACAATTCCGTAAATTTGATATGCGCAATTTTTTGGCAAGCGAGGACACAAAGACACAGGACGAAGGATGAAGGACGAAGAACGAAGAACGAAGGACTGAAAGAGTGTTCATATAACTACCAAACCGCCTGGCAACCTGTTGCCGCTTGTTACGCACTTTTATGACGCCAGCGGGTGGGCTCGAGTGGATTGCGTGTGTGTTTCTAGGCCCAGCCCTGGGAAAAAGCCTCCTCAGAGTAGGCCTCATTAAAGGTAATATGCCACATGATGCGCTGATGGAACTCTCACACGTCCTTTTCGCAGGTTGCTATAACATAATCAGTAGTCAGGCCTTCTGTATGGTTTCATGTCTTTATTAACGCTCTAACTCTCTTGAAATATGAAAACACAAACTATTCCTGCTTAGATGAAATCTCACATTTCAAGAAAGCAATTTTTTTGTGAATTAAAATATGTTTATTTAACTTTTGTTTTGTGTGCTATCTCAGCATTTGATATGCAGAGAAAAAGTGCATAAGTTTTTGCAAGGCCCCGATATACGTATAGCTTATACTTTGGCAAATCTCAGTGCAAGACAAAAGTAGCCAACTCGACTTAAAAACTTTCTTTTTTTGCCTTTCCTGTTGGAGCTTTTGGCATTTCTTATGCAGCTGATTGCATTTGGCCAAGAGCAGCGGGACAACAGCAGCAGCAGCAGCAGCAAAGGCAACTGCAGCTTGCAATTGAATTTTATAACAAACAATTTTACGCTTTAAGCACACTAGAATGTGCTACCAATGAGGCCACTGCCTTGAAGTGCCCGGAGTGCGTCATTGACTTTGCCTCTTTTCTCTATTTATCGTTATTTACCATTAGCTGTCTTGCATACACCCGCACACCCGCCTTCAATTTCTGCACGGACCTGACTTTCCACGGACTCTGTAACGACCACAATAAGCATTCTGGCCCAGCAACTTGCGCTCGCCTTCATTTTCTGTGGTTTCCTCTTCGGCAAACCTAAGGGTAATCGGGCCCCATAAGCAGGCACAAAGTTTAATACAAAAAAGTAGAACAAAAACGAAATCAATTCACCTGCCCAAGTAATTATGGCGCAGCAAGTTGTTAAAGTAAAAACTTATTCAAATGGCTCTTAATGAAATTAAGTTTCGGCTAAAAAGCCAACTGTAAAGCAAGCAGAAAAAAAACTCGGCAGTTAAGTCAACTTTTACATTAAGATTACAATTTTTATGGATTTCTTACGAACTGTTTGCCTTCAAAGGCAAAGAATATTCGGACAAAATTGGTAATCTTTAAATTTAGTTTCCAATTAAGTTTTTAAATATGGTTTTGCATTTTTGACATAATTCTTGGCTTTAAATCAAATAACAATTTACTCATCTCAGGCTTTATTGTGTTCTAACCGATTTATTTGCCTTTTAAATTTAATTTTAAAAATATTTACTTCATTCATTAAATATGGTGAGTGGATTTACAGCATTAGCATTTTTAACAGGCCACACTGAAGACATACACACTTTTTGGACCGAGATTGAAGACAAAGTTGGCACTCCCGGGCCATTCTTATCCCGTTTCTGCCCCAAGTGTATAATTATTCTATCTGTCGCATATGCATGAGATCAGCTATAAGGCATGGTACACGCCCCCTTGTCTTCATCTGGCCTTATGTATGTGTATTCATATGCGTACGCCCAACTTCATCGGCTTCCCATTCCGCAGCTTCATTAGCAAGTTTGTGCGTATTCATTAGAAAGCAGCAACAGGGGGCCATAGAGCCTCCCAAAATCTCCCTTCGTTTCCAGAACACCGAACCCACAGCTGCGACTGGTTGATAAAAGATTTATGCGAGCACTGATAACCCGACAAAACGCCCACATCCACAGACATACTGCCAGGATCCTGGATAAATAAACCAAAAAATAAAAAAAAAAACAAAAAATACAGAAAGCCGAAAATTTCTATGGGAAAAAGTCTCAAGTCTGGTAGCCAAATGAAAAAAAAAACCGAAAATTAAAGCACATAAAGGCAGCTGCTTGATTTGGCATTCAACATAAAAAGCGACGCCGTCAGCTGGGGTTCTTCCATGCAAAATCAGCCTGTCTGTCTGCCTGACTGAGGGGTTTTGGGCCCTCCACACAAAAAAAAGGTACCCGCCGCTCCTTTAAAACCGCAAGTTGTTGCAGGAAATGTTTTTCCAAAATGTTTGGTAACTCGACGGCGGCTCTTTCACATGTTCATAAATTAAAATGCCGCAAATCAAATTCACATAAGGCTTCAAAACACTCAAACGCCCTGGCTCAAAGCGCTGGCAAAACTGACGGACAGAGGCGGCGGGAGATTGAGTGGCAGAGGGGGCGACCCTAAAAAAGGGGCCCAAAAGAAGAGAGGCAATCCTTGAATTTTGTCTAAACCGAAAACCCCAAAAACTGGCGCGCCGCTG